TTTTACCAATAGGGACGAGGACTTCTTCAATCGCGGAATTATGAAATTGCCTTCAAAATGGACAAAAGTTATCGAACAAAACGGCGCATATTTGATCGAAATCGGATAATCCTAACTATGTTAATTTCATCGTCGAAATAAAGCGAAAAAACGCTCAGAACTTTTTACTTCACCTAATATGTATATTTTTTTATTTATTTTGAATAATAATAATGTATTCCATAGAGGTCCTAAAATAAGCACAGTTAACGTCGTTTTCGAAAATCCACCTTTTCAAGCGTGAATGTTACTTTAAAAAACTCTAAAAAACTCCCCTAGAATCTGCTCTACATGCTAGCACTACATTTTTTTTTGTTTAGGCAGAGGAAATGCTTTACGCACACTTGCGGGAAATACGGGACTTTTCCAGGGGTAGGGTGGGACTCCCCCCCCAGAACTAACCGCCGGAGGGGGGGGGGCTTACCTACTAAAACCTCTGCCGGGCCCCTTGCGGCCATTGCGAGGACGCCCCGGGAACCGCTTGCGCATTATTTCCGGGACACCCTCAGCCGCTGGGCGGGGAAAAACTAAACTCCGCCCTCTTTCCCGGGGGGGGGGGAGATAGTTCCCCCTCGTCCCGCACTACCAATTCTCCATGACCGGACGTGGGCCCCCCCGTCCAGTCATACCTCTCCGTCATACCTCCTCTATCAGTTAGGAACCTTGCGAGCCAGGTCCGGTCCGTTCGGACCCGGCCTGCCCCTACCCTCCTGACCGAGGTTACGGGGTGGAAGGGTCTCCCTCGTCCCCTCTCGGTCAGGAATCTCCACTCTCGGGGAGGGGGATGAGCGGCCTAAAAACCCGCCCATGCGGATCGGACACTCTACCCCCTTCCCGGAGGCGCCTCCTATTTCCCCCCCGCTGGGCCCTCCGGCGATCGCCGCCAGGAGGACCCGGCGGTAATGTGGGGGGGGGGGCGGCGCACCCACAGGAACCCCGGGGGAGGAAACGCTAACAGTGACGTCCTCTCCCCGCCCACGGGTGCGCCGCCCTTCTATCCCGCGAAAATGTGCGGGTGGGTGAGACGCTGTTCTCCTTCTTCTACGGCGCCTCATCCGTCCCGAAGGGCGATCTCGCCCCTCCTCTCTCGTCCTGCCTCCTCGACTGTGTCGCAGAAGGAGGTAACGGCGGACCAGCTCTCGTCTCCCCCAAGCATGGCCCTGATAAGGGCCGGGGGAGAGAGGTCCGCCCCCATCACTCCGACCATGCTAGCACTACATGATCTAATCTTCAATAACATGACCAACTTTCGGATAGTGTAAACATGTAGAGCATTCTAGGCTATTTTTTTCACATTATTTTAAAGTAATTTCCACTATTGCTAAAGGTCAATTTCGGAAAGACATCCGTATTTTTATTTGCATCTTCTCCTGGGTGTCGATGTGTGTTAGTGTCACTGTACTCCTTCAGTAGCACACCCAGAAAATTTAAAATAATTTGCCAATATCCCAAAGTCGCACCCACAACATTAGATCCATCGTAGCATTATATTCGTATTCTTGCGCATGCATAGTGGTACGTATCCTGCGCAGGACCTGAAAGTATCCCGGGTGACAATGTGTTTTAGTGTCACTCTACTCCCTCAATAGCACACCCAAAATGTTGAAAATAATTTGTCAATATCCCAAATCGCTCATAACGTTAGATCTATCATAGCATTATATTAGGATTCTCGCGCATGCGCAGGGACCGAAAGTCGGTCATGTTATTGTAGGTCAGGTCATATAGTGTTAGCATGTAGAGCGCCTTCTACGCTAATTTTCCCCATATTTTTAAAATAATTTCTGTTGTTGCCAAAGGTCAATTTCGGAGAGACGTTCGTATTTCGATTTGCATAGTCTCCTGGGTAACAATGTGTGTTTGTGTAACTCGACTTCTTCAGCAGCATGCCCAGAATCTTGAAAATAATTTGCCAATATCTCAAAATCACAACCATAACGTTATATCTATCCTAGCGGTATATTCGGATTCTCGCACATGCGCACTGGTACCTATCCGCGCATGAACCGAAAGTCGTTCGTGTTACTGCAGGTTAGGCCATGTAGTGTTAGCATGTAGAGCATATTCTGGGATAGTTTTTTTAATATTTCTTAAAGTAACGTTCGCGCTTGAAAATATATATTTTTGAAAATGACGTCAGGTGTACTTATTTTGTTCTGCATCGTCTTCTAAGTAACAAATTGTGTTTGTGTCATTCCAGTCCCTCAGCAGCACGTCCAGAATCATAAAAATAATTTCGCAATATCTCAAAGTCGTGCCAATAACGTTAGATTCATCGTAGCTGTATATTCTTGCGCATGCGCAGTGATACCTATCCTGCACGTAGACTACTGAAGGAATATAATGACACTAACACACATAGACACTCAGGAGAAGATATAAATAAAAATATAGACGTCTTTCCTAAATTTACCTTTGGCAATAGCAGAAATTACTTTAAAAGAATATGAAAAATTAGCCTAGAATGCGCTCTACATGCTAATATTATATGACCTAACCTTTTTTTTTTGTTAAGACAGACAAATGCATTACGCACATCCCTGGGAAATACGGGACCTCCCCAGGGATAGTGTGGGACTCCTCCCCCCCGCCGGTACTAACCACCGAGAGGGGCCTACCCACTAAAACCTCTGCCGGGCCCCTTGCGGTCATCAAGAGGGCGTCCCGGGAACCGCTCGCGCATAACTTCCGGGACGCCCTCGGCCGCCGGGCGGTTCTAACTAACCCGCCCCCTATCCCGGGGCTGGGAGGAGACTTCCCCCTTAGCCCGCTCTACCAAATCCTCCATGACCGAATATAGGCCCCCCCTATCCGGTCATACCAAGGGTTCTAATCTCCCATGCATTTGAAGTGGGCTAGCGTTTGTGGCGCCCTCGCTCCATAACAGGCAGTAAAGAACTAATAATCAACATGGCGGCTGTCTATATATATATGTACTGTATGTATGTGTATGTATGCATATATGTGTATATATTCCACGTATCATATACACGCATATATACACATATTTTATTTACTATATGGTCTAAAGCATAATATGCTCTAAATAAAGAATAAATATTAAAGTAATTAAGATAAAAAGAAAAAACACTGTTAGAAGTTAAATTCTTACATTATATATTTTAATATGTACAAAAATACAAAAAATATAGTTTATATTTTAACTTGGTAACTGTAATAAATCGTTGACATCATGTGTTATAATATTGTTGTTAAGGTTGCCAAGAGCCAAGTTTTGGAGACCTATACAGAAAAAATACATTAATATTTGTTATGTTATATGTTTGAACTTGCAAATTTATTATTATTATATTTTATATTATTATTATTATATTACCGATATACAGATTAGATATGTTATGAAGCTCATATAATCAATCATCTCTAAAGTTTTTAAGTTCCTGTAATAAACGCTTTGATAACGTGTGTTAATATGCCTTTATATATTATCTTGTCTTCTCGTCGCTTTCAGGAACTGTGAATATGTGCTTCAGGATCTCTTTCACAACACACTGAGAATGATGCATATGACAAAGCAAAATAACATATATAAAAGATGTAATTAGAAAAATCTATAAAATACTTACAAATTTTCGTTAAATGATCCATTCACTTATATATTTGAAGTATTTTTTTTTTTTACTTTTAATTTTTGTTTTTTAAATTTTGTTGATATTTTTTTAGCTTTGTTGTAAATATAATTATTTGTACTGATATCGTCTAATGTTCCATTTAATATTCTATTAACGTATTTGCACCATTGGTTGATAAATTGTTGTGCAGTTTCATTTATTAAAGAATCTTGCTGTGCAGCACAATGTATTGAAATTTTTGCAAATGCTTCCAAATATAAAATACTTTTCAACTTCTCTGTGACTTTTACTTTATGGCAGAAATTCATAAATTGCAATTCTGCAATTTGTAGTGCATGTTGTATAATGTTCAAAGTATTTTCATTTTTAAGGCATTGTATAGACTCTGTACATTTCATCTCGCAATGTTATTTATTAAAATATTAATAAATTTTTCTTCATAAATAAATGTATTGGATATTGTTGGTAACGGTATTGAAATTTCTGTACAATCTGTTTCTTCATTTTGTTCCTCACTCAATGTAATACTTTCAGCTGTTGAAATCATTCTTCCAAGTGATAATGATTTACTTTCATAATCTTCTTTACAATTTGAAGAAATGGAATGTTTAGATGTTAAATTATTTGTTACAAGTACTTTAAATGCAGCACAAAATTGATAAGGGGACGGATTATTATTTCTGTGTCCGTGATCGCGTATTTGACTAAAACAATTTTCGACTGGATCCTGATTAATGTATCGTAAATTTAATGAGGAAAAGTCATATTTTTTCATAATATCCCAAAGATATTTGACACCTTCAATAGTCCATACCCAATTTACAAGACATTTAGACTTATGCCGAATATATTTGTGAGTTTTACTTTCCACAAAGTCCATTTTGCGTAGTGTGCGAGCAGCGTCTTGCCAAAATGCTAAATGATTGCTTGATGAAGTAATAATACTTGAGTATATTTTACCATTTTTTCTATTAAAAGAATCAAATAAATTATTAAAAAATAAAATCACTTCTGACGTTGTCATAGCACTAGGTGGTAAGTACATAGTTCCTTTTGTAGTATTTACACTACAATGAATAGAAACTGTAGAACACTGTAATAGAAAAATATATTTAAACATTTAATTTGTTAAATAAATAATTGAAATAAACATAATTACCATTATTTTTTAATAATTATTGCATTGTACCTTTATTTAACGTCAGTATAATGTCCATGAAATTTGCCACCGTGTGGCTCAATACCTGTGTAGCATATTTTACTTTCATCTTCGGCATAAGATGTGTAAAAATATATCTGTCAGTCAATTTTGGCATTTGTCATTGTCTTAACAAGGAATATTTATTCATGTTATATGTAATAATAATGTCATCCCATGATGCAAACTGTTTTTCAGATTCTTTCTTATTTTGTTTATAATCAGATCTTTTGTTAATAAATTATTGCGTATTCCTTTTTGTAAGTGTACATAATCATAAAGGGGGATAATTTCTTTATTTTCCACAAGAAATGTATTTTCTATAAATAAATGGAGCTTTATTAATACATTATATTACACAAATAGTTATATAAAATAATATTACAAATTGTGATACAAAACAATATCACTGTTGTAATTGATGAAACTAATAAAATTTAATCAAAAGTGCACTTTACTTACTGGAATTTTGATGCTGTTTATGTCGTACATCGTTGCTCTCTTTGATCAACATATTAATTGCTGCTGTGTCAGGTCCTCCTTGATCACACACATTTGCTACTGGTCTGAACCCACATTTTATGACAAAACTTATCCATTGCTTTATGCATCTAACAAGCTGAATGGTGCAAGTTGTACTATTACAGAATCCATAGCCAAGAGGCATACGATTGCCAGATGCAAGACATCTCATGTAAAATAGAATTGCATGGTCTGCAAATTTTCTGGTTCTCCTCATCCCCCAATCTTCAAACCTGATTATTTTGTTGCTTTTTTTATTGTAAAAAATGGCTGGTTGTAATGACATTTCATCCCAAATTATAATTACGTTTAAATCTTTTGGATCAATTTCTCTTGCGGCTAAATGTAAATATTGGTACATAATTTTATTGCACCCAGTATCTAAAGGAATACTTTGTAGTTCTTTGTTCAAAGTATTGAGGGAAGGACATGGAATATATTTGCAAATGAATTTGTATGATGAGCGTGATCTATGGGAAATGCCTATACAAAACATTTTGTCATCTATTGTATAGCGTCTGGCCTATTAATGACAGAAAATATATAAAATTGCTGATTTTTTCAAAACGAAATATCAATAATAAAATGATAATAAATATATATTTTCATTTGTACACATATAAATGTGTAAACATATAAAATAAATAATATACAATTAAATGCATAATCTACATATAATTTAGATCAATAATATAGAAAAGATTATCTAAAAGTTACAATTGAATATTTTTATACAAAATAGATAAATGTGTATTACAAAAAATTGTTATGGAATTGTTAGTCAACTTTTATTGGATTTGGAAATTTACCTGTGGTGCCACATCATTGTTTCTAATAATCATATTTATGAACTGCTGCCTCACATGTTGTTCATGCTTATCAGCATTACCTGTGGAATCAATTGTATGCAGTGTTATTGATTTTTCTATATTTACTTTCTTGCATCAGCAGTCTCTTTAGCCGTCTTTTATCTTTTCTCATTTTAACTATTTTGTCATATAATTTCCTCTCTTTTGGACTTAATAAGTTTTTACGAGTGACTTCTTCAAGATTTGGTCTTGCAACATATGGCCTCTTTTGTAACATCTTTTTTATATTTTCAATTTCCTCTTGTTGTTTATGTACAATTTCCTTGTCGTAATTTGACCTGTTGTTCATTTAATGTTATTTGCTGTTTTTCTTGTTGTAAAAGAATGCTTTCATTGTGTGATAATGCTTCCGCGTCTTCATGTTGTTCTTTATTTTGCTCTGTATGCGATTTTGGAATGTTTTGTTCATGCTGTTCTTGGCTGCTTAATTCCTGATGTGGCAAATTTACAGATGGAATTGCATAATGCAATAATATTCGTCTTGATGATGAGTCACTATAATTATCCTCACAAAAGTGCTTGTAGCATACTCTCAATTTTTTTATTTCGCTTTCTTCGCATGGAGGTTTCATATGCAAATTATGAAACCATTTGTTGCGGCGTTCCAAATCCTTCGGAAATGTGTGAGTTGGCATATTTCCTCTCGAAGAACAGTTTGACACACAACACGCTCTCACTATGATTTCCCTTTTCACGCAAACTTTATTGTTTTTCACGTTATATACGAGTATGACGTCGTATCACGTATACAATATAATGGCCATAACAGATTGTTAATTTGTTCTTCTTAGTTGCACTAGTTCAGCTAAAAAGAACAAATATTAGTTCCACTTTGCTGCCTGTTATAGAGCAAGGGCGCCACAAACACTGACCACTTTTAGACCATAAGAGTTTGGAACCCCTGGGTCATACCATACCCTCAAGGGGCACAATGGGCCAGGTCCGACCCCGTCTGGATCCGGCCCGCTCCTTCGCTCCCGACCGAGGTTATGGGGTGGGGGGTCATTATATCCTTCCATCCCCCTCGGTCATCCATTCCGTACTTTGGGAGAGAGGAGAGCGGCCGCCGCGCTGGTGGACCCTGCCCTCCTCCCGACTATATGACCTAACCTGCAGTAACATGACCGACTTGAGGCCTCTGCGCAGAATAGATACCACTGCGCATGCGCGAGAATCCGAATATAATGCTACGATTGTCTAACGTAATGGGCGCGGTTTCGAGATATTTGAAAATTATTTTTAATATTCTGGATACGCTACTGAGCGATTAGAGTGAAACTAACACACATTGTCATCCAGGAAAATATGTAAAGCGAAATATACCCGTCTTTTTCGAAATTGAACTTTCGCAATCGCAGGAATTACTTTAGAAGACTATGAAAAATTACCCTAGAATGTGCTTTACATGCAACACTATAGCCGATATCAGATAATTGTAATCTTATAATTAAGATCATCTTAAGTACTGTTTTAAGATATCATGAGCCAATCACGGAGCCGTATTCGCATCTTAAGACATTATTTAGGACGATCTTGAAATAACATTCAACTATAAATACCGGTCTATATAACCTAACCTGCAGTAACATGACCGACGTTCTGCACATGCGCAGAATAGGTACCACTACGCATGCGCGAAAATTCAAATATAATGCTACGATGAATCGAACGTTATGAATGCGGCTTTGGACTGTTGGAAAAATGTTTTCAAGATTCTGGATATGTTACTGAAGGAGTAAAATGACATTAAGGTACTTTGTCATTCAAGAGACGATGCAGAGCGAAATAGGCATACTTTACATCATTTTCGATAATAAATCTTTGCAAACGCAAAAATTTCTTTAAGCAACTTTAAAAAATTATCCCCGGCTTAACTAACTTGGCTTAATAAATTAGGGAAGATTTAAAACACTTCGTTTCGAATCTCGGCTTAATAATTTAGCGGAAACACAAAACACATCGGTTCAAATCTCGGCTTAATAATTTAGCGGAAATACAAAACACTTCGGTTGAATCTTGGCTAAATAATTTAGCGGAACCATAAAGCTAATCAGTTCGAATCTCGGTTTATTGGTTCAGCGGAATCTTAAAACACTCGCGTCCGAATCTCGACTTAATAATTTAGCGGGCAATCGAAATATTTCGGTTCTAGTTTCGGCTTAATAATGTAATTTGTTATCTTTAATTTGTCGAAATTTAATTTGTCGTCTTGTCAACAACAAACGCATATGAATAAGAAAATATCTCCGAAGAAATATTATGTCGTATATAATACGACATAACAAACTATGAATTATATTAATCAAATTGTATATAGTATAGAGCATTCATAGGATATATATGAAACATATATAGAGCATGAAAAAACATATATAGCATATAAATATGACATACAGAGCATATAAATATGTCATGTTGAAATATATCAGTTTAATATATTATCAAGAAACAATCTGACGAGAAGGAAGTCTGTCGAGTTGAAATTTCAATTGGCCATTGTTATGCAAGAATGATCCAATTAAAAAAATTATAAGCTTTTATCAAATTACTTTATTCACATCTTTTTAAACCAATCAAGAAATTTTCAAACTTTATAGATACTTGAAATGAATTAAGAAACAGATTTTCTTATTTTTTACCAGTCGCGTCTTTTTGCACATTTTTCTAAGGAAAAAATTTTCTTGAGTTACTCACAAGGAGATGCCACAACATGCTAAATCGATTTCTGGACGTGTCATAACACGTTCGCTAGTTGCGATGTTAAACATCAACGTTCTAATTGGAGTTTATGCCAATGGGCCTTTGTTTTTGAGAAATCACAGTATAAAGTTTGGGTTACGGAACTGTATCGCAGATATAGCTAAAAATGCAACTGTTTTTTAATAAGGCAGCGTGGCTAAGCAGACTAAAGCGGGTGTATATCAGTTGGACACGGGGCAATTGAACACAGTCCAATCACAAGTCGCTGTTCCAAGGGACCCTACAAATGTCTCTAATCACACGGTGTTGTGATTGGCTGTGTCCAAATGCACCGTGTCCAAGTGCACCGCTCCCGACTGAAGCTCTAACGTCGAATATTTTTGAGCCGGCAGCGAGCGTTCGAATCCTGGCGACAAGTTTTCTTGTGCAATGTTTTTTTTTCTTACTTTGAGGCATGTAATTAACGTTTTTCGAATATGATACATTTGTTTTGCATATGTCTCGTTTTTATGCTATTAATCAGGGGTAATTAGGGAAATGTCAGGCTTGTTTAACGCAAACACGAATATAGACATATTTTGCATTGCTTACAATGAAATATATATTTAGTATATATTAACAAATTAATGTATATGTGTTTGCGTTAAACAAGCCTGACATATGTAAAACATATGTATCATATTCGAAAAACATTAATTACGTGTCCTAAGGTAAGAAAAGAAAACACCGCACAAAGATAACTCGTCGCTAGGATTCGAACGCTTGCTGCCGGCTCAAAAATGTTCGACATGAGAGCCTCTGTTTGCTCATCCACGTCGCCTCGCGAAAAAACAGTTGCATCTTTAGCCATATTTGTGATATAGTCCTGCAACCCAAATTTTATACTGTAATTTCTTACAAACAAAGGCCCATTGGTATCCCAGTTAAGATGTTGATGCTTAACATCGCAGCTAGCGAACGTGCTGTCTCGTTCAAAAATTGATTTAGCAGGTTGTGGCATCTTCTTGTCAGTACTCTTAAAGAAAAAGAAATCGAAATGCTTGACTCGCTGAACTATTGCAAAAATCTTAGAGCTAAATTCTTTGGTTAGATAATTCTTACGTAACTCCCGCGAATTGCAAATTCAAATTCTTACTTTACTTTCCGTCGAATCCAATGCGATTTACGTCTACGTGCATGCAATCTATGTAAAGTGACGCTTTGTGTCTACTATATGAGCGTCTAAATTGAGCGCTCACCATTGCGTCCTATGGTGTCCAGGGTCGATCAGCCATCGTGTTATTGCATTTGACATTGCGATGGTCTTCGTGTCCCACGTCGCCTGTAATTCACTCCCGACCGCGATAATCTAACGGAGGTTTCACGAAAAATCCCGTTTTTTTTGGTGGATACACTCCGAGTTGCGAATTGCATATGAAATGTCGTGAACTGCGTCTTCGAAGAAATATCGGCCTTTCGGATAAACGATGAGTATGTGCGACGAATTCAGCAACGATCCGATCGAGTTGTAGTATCGCTTTGATACACGCGCGACGCGATTCGCTTACGAAGAAAACGGAATCTGCGAGCGAAGGGAACACGCGACGCTAAGACCAATTTCACGAAATGATTCGACGCGTGGGCGAAATAATGTATGTGAAATTCTTACGTACAACACGGAATATGCCTAATATAACGTTTCGATGGTGCAGCGTAGTAGGCTGCAATACACCTCCGCAATATTTTTGCGGATAACAGCCCCGCAATACTTTTGCGAAGACAATTCTGCAATATTTTTGCGGATAACAGCTCTGCAATATTTTTGCGAAGACAATTCCGCAATGCTTTTGTGGATAACAACTCCACAATATTTCTACAAAATTCGCTCGCGATTTTTTCGCAAATACGATGCGGTGAAATTCGCAAACCTATCAAATTAATAATCACGAACGCGAGCGTGAATGAAAAATCAAAATTTATAAATATTATGACGATAGAGATAATGATTTTATTCAAAATTCACGCGAAAAAAATGTTACCGTGTGTGACATTTATCTTCATTTGATCGAACTTGTACGCTCCGCGTAAGTAAATAAACTGGGGAGCGGTGCACTTGGACACGGTGCATTTGGACACAGCCAATCACAGCACCGTGTGATTAGAGACATTTGTAGGGTCCCTTGGAACAGCGACTTGTGATTGGACTGTGTCCAATTGCCCCGTGTCCAACTGATATACACCCAATAAACTGCATGTCTGACTTGTATACATCGCGTTTTTCGCAAGGGATCAACTCTCGCTAGCATTGTCTCTATTGTGTCCCACGTTAGGAAACTCTAACTCTAAGTGAAAAATTAAAACCTGGAAAATTTTCCGACGATTGTGAAATTATTTTTGCGAGCAGTTTGTTATATAATCACGTTAGACCGCTTCGCGCACGATATTGAATTTTACTTAATAACGAAGTACAAAATGCAATCGTCATTCAAGTTCACGCGAGAGAGAAAATTGAGAAAATTAACGAACGGCGGAAAATCTATGAAGCGGGTGATATGATTGCGCATTTTCTATGGCGCAGTCCCTTTGCACGTTGGCGCAATCTCTTTGCGCGTTGGTACACTGCTCGAGACACCTGGAAGATCGCATTCAATAAAACTGAATAATTTTACAAAATTTTAAATGTTCAGCGTATACTCAATACTTTAAGTATCTACCAGATAGTATTGGGATTTGATTAATCAAAATTTCCTCCGACAAAAATCGTCGAGCAATCAATAATCTAAGTTAATTAATTTCTAAATATATATATATATATATATATATATATATATATATATATATATATTGGGAAAAAAATACTTGAAAATTTATTTGCCAAATGTATTTATATATAATATGCATAATGATAATATGCATTATCATTAGTATTATTATTTGAAAAAGTGATCTTCCAATTGTTTGATTTTTATTAAACAGTACGTACACATATTACAACTACAGCAAAATAAATCGCATTGATTCGATAAGCATGCACTACATGCACTACACGAAAGACGTTTTGTCTCTCTATTATCAATATGTTTCTTATTTTGACTCACA